TCCTAAGTGCAGGACTCTGCACTTGTCCTTGTTGAACCTCATCAGGTTTCTTTTGGCCCAATCCTCCAATTTGTCTAGGTCCCTCTGGGAGCCCTACAGAAGGGCTTGGAAGCCGGCCTCTCTCACCAAGAACAGATCTTACCTCCCTCTAGGATCCTGGCGCTGACCCGGTTACAACTACGCTGCATACCTGATACCGTGAAGCAGGGTCACCCCCAGAGCTGGGGGAGGGGGTGGAAACAGGAGTGGGCTAGCGGGGGGTTGTGGGTCGGAGATGCAGGGGGCAGCCCAGGGCTGGGCTGGCAGGGGGCTGGTGTTTTGTTTCCGGCTGTAAGCGCGTGAGCCCAGGGTTGGAGCTGTAACAAACCTGGGGGTCTTGGCAAGGAAATAAGAGAGAATCGTTAGACCATTGGAAAGCAGGGAGCCAAGGAGAGAGAGCAGAAAATGAGACATGAGGTCTGTCCCCTCTAGGGGGCGCTGCCCCGATCCGGCCCCAAGGTGGGGACTGGCTGGCTCCTGGGGCGGGGAATGGGACACAGGGCCGATCCCCTCTGGGGGGGGGGGGCTGTTCCCATCCGGCCCCAGGGCAGGGACTGGCTGGCTCAGGGGGGCGGGGAATGGGGCAGGGTCCTGTCCCCTCTAGGGGGCGCTGGCTCCCATCCAGCCCCAGGGCAGGGACTGGCTGGCTCCGGGGGCGGGGAATGGGGCCAGGGCCTGTCCCCTCTAGGGGGCGCCGGCTCTGATCTCTGGCTCTGTAGCCCAAGGGTCCCGATGGGGCGGAGTGTTTCGATCACCGTGGGGAAAAAACGTTACTAAGGGGCTCGTCGGTCCAGCGGCGGGAGGTCGAACCCCGTCCCACGGCTGGAAGTTGAAGCTGGACAAAAGCCTGGGAATAAGGTGTAAGTTTTTCCCGTGAGAGCAATGAACCCTCGGGACCCTGCCCCAGGGCACGGTGGATTCTCCGTCCAGACAAGGTTTAAATCAGGACGGGCGGTTTTGCTGAGAGTCCTGCCCTAGATCAACCAGGAATTAATTCGGGGCAGGTCTCTGGCCTGTGTGATGCTGGAGGTCAGACGAGAGGCTCACAATGGTACCGACGGCCGTCTCTGACCCCCGCTGGCTTGGCCGAATCCCTATTTCGGGAACCTCACTCAACCAAACACGGAGAGTCCTTCAGTTCACGTCCCAGTTTTGTGGCTTTGCTGTGCTGCTCTCACCCTGCTGCCTCGCCCCAGAGGTGGCTGCATCTCAGTGCCAGGAAAGCCATTCCCATGCGGTGTTATGTGTGGCCATTCCCCAGATGCCCTGCCCCACAGGTGGCTGCATCTCAGTAGCTGTACATCTAAAACTCAGCTCCTGTCCCAGAAGCAGAGACCTGGAGCTGATGGAGGAATGACTATTAGCTCTTGGCTGTGTAGGGAACACAAGTGTCAGTGTTTCAAGCTTATTGCACTAACACACACACACACACACAGAGCGGCCACCTGGGTTCTCTCCCACCTCTGGGAGGGGAGTGGGTTCTAGTGGGTTAGAGCGAGAGGTGGGGTGTTGGGAGCCCGGACTCCTGGGTTCTCTCCCTGGCTCTGGGAGGGGAGTGGGGGCTAGTGGTTAGAGCGGGGGGGGGCAGGACTCCTGGGTTCCATGGCAGAGCTTGCTCCAGCGATAACAGGAAACCTGTTTGCCGGCGGTTGCTCAATGCCATACAACGCTGAGGGCAGCCAGAAAGGGGGCAGGCTGCTCAACCTCTAACCCACCCATTACATGCCCCACAGGGAAAGGCCATCAAACAAAAATCCAACACCTGTGCGCACCCTGGGCCCCCTAGTGCCAGGCACTGCTCAGGGCTGGGCTAGCAGGGGCTGCGGGTCGGGAGTGAGGGGCACCGGCAGGGCTGGGGGGCAGGGCTGGGCTAGCAGGGGCTGCGGGGCGGGAGTGAGGGGCACCGGCAGAGCTGGGGGGGCAGGGCTGGGCTAGCAGGGGCTGCGGGTCGGGAGTGAGGGGCACCGGCAGAGCTGGCGGGGGGGGCAGGAGGTGGCTGGTTTTGTCTCTGAGGCTGTTCCCAATCTCGGTGGATTTACACTGACAATGGGCAGCCCTGATTACTGGAACCTTATCCCAGACCTGGCCCGGGGGGGGGGCTGCCACACACAGAGTCCCCCTCCCCCGAGCCTCCCAAATGCCATGCCCCCACCATGGACCTCCCCACAATGACCCCCCCACTGGGTCACCCCAGCCTCTCCCCCACTAACTGACCTCCCCCCCTGTGCAGACCCCTCCCCTCCCCTCTCTTCACAGGTACAACACACAGACACACACACAGAGCGGGGCCCATCCCCTCCAGCAGCGGGCGCAGGGACACACACACACACACACACACACACAGCTAACGACCCCCAACCGCTGCCCCCCTGCTGTCTAGGGGTCGCAGCACCTGGGGCCCCTCTCTGGCCCTGACCCTCACCCCTGCCAGGACCTGCCTTGAGGGGGGGATGGTCCCCAAGAGGGGAGGGGCGGAATCAGAGACGACTTAAAAGTTTGGGCTGGGGGCGCAGGGCGAGGAGGAGGGAGCGTGGGGAGGGAAGAGGAAGGGTGCGGGGTTAGGTGACGGGTACCCCCAAACTGTCAGCTCCACGGCCGGTGAGTGGGGACCCCCCAGCCTTCAGGGACGAGTCCCTTCTAGAGAGGGGGCAGAGAGAGGAGGGGAAAGGGGGGTCGGGGTTCAGGGAGAAAGATGGGGGAACCTCTCTACAGCCAGAGGGGCTGGGAGCCAGGACTCCTGGGTTCTCTCCCTGGCTCTGGGAGGGGAGCGGGGTCTAGTGGTTAGAGCGGGGGTGAGGGGCTGGGAGCCAGGACTCCTGGGTCCTACCTTATCCCCCAAGGCTGTTAGTCGGCTCTTCCTTCCGACGCCACCCTGTCCCCAGGTGCTGAGCCCGGCCACCCAGCACTGACCCCACATCTTCTGGAGCCATGGCAGGGACTGGCGGCTCAAACCGTGAGTGGGGTCCAAGGGAGGGGGCCTGCCACTCCTGCTCCCCCAGGCAGAACCAGGGTGAGGGCTGGGAGCCAGGACTCCTGGGTTCTCCCCCTGGCTCTGGGGGGGGAAGGGGAGTGGGGGTCTAGTGGTCACAGCAGGAAGGGGGGGATGAGAGCCAGGACTCCTGGGTTCTCCCCCTGGCTCTGGGGGGAGGAGTGGGGCCTAGTGGTTACAGCGGGGGGCGGGGGGGCTGGAAGCCAGGTCCGAGGACCCAGGCCATGTACACGTTAATGAGAAAACTGCTTGGCACAGACTCTCCGGGGCTCAAATTCCCCCCCTGCTCCCCTCCCCCAGTCCCAGACTAATTAGCCTCCCGGGTGCATTGTGTCCCCCGGGGCGCTGCATTCTCACGCTCTCAGGTTCGGTGGGCCGGGTGGGGAGGGGCGATCAAGTTCCCCCCACTTAATCCCGGGGATCACAGCCGGGAATTACAACAGCCTCTGTCCCCGGCGGGGCGGGGGGGGGACTCTCAGAGGCTGCCACCGACCTGCCAAGAAGGGACCTTGTTGGGGCGTAGAGACGTTCCCCCCACAGTCTGCGACGCGCCACCCCAGTGGCACAGACCTCCATGCACTGAGCTGCAGGGGGAGCGCTCCCCGCGGCAGAGGTATTAGGGCTTTTACCCTTGCTGGGCCTCTAGGGGGCATAGCACACTGCCACGGGGGCACTGCACATTGCAGGCCAACGCAGGGACAGAGGTTAGAAATATCCCCCCTTTTAAAGTATAGGAGGTGGGCTAGCAGGGGCTGCGGGTCGGGAGTGAGGGGCACCGGGAGAGCGGGGGGGCAGGGCTGGGCTAGCAGGGGCTGCGGGTCGGGAGTGAGGGGCACCGGCTGAGATCCTGACACCCCCCCGCACCGTCTCCAGACATTATCAGCCCCCCCTTCAGGAAGGCCCCAGAGATGCCCGGCCTGGCGGGGGGACCCCCGGCTGCTCCCCCTTCCCTGCACTTCGCCACCCCCACGCGCCGGCGCCACCGCACCAGCTTCACCCAGGAGCAGCTGAAGCAGTTGGAGGCCGCCTTCGTCAAGAACCATTATCCGGACATCTACGTCCGCGAGGAGCTGGCCCGGGCCACGCGGCTCAACGAGGCCAGGATCCAGGTACCTGGTGGAGGGCTGCGGGGCGGGGGGGGGTCTCCCTGGCAGTCAGTTCTGGGCACCGCAGGGCGTTGTGTGTGGCTGTTCCCCAGCCGCCCCGCCCCAGAGGTGGCTGCATTCAGCGCCGGGCGAGGCATCGCTGAGGTCCCAGCCAGGCGCACTCCTGGGTGAGGGGCTCCGTGGGGTGGTGCGGCTGGGTCTGGACGGCGTCTTTCTCTCTTTCCAGGTGTGGTTCCAGAACCGCCGGGCCAAGCAGCGGAAGCAGGAACGGGCCCTGCTGAAGCCCAGCCCTCCAAGGGGCCTCTCGGTCGGGCCGGTACCCGCTCCCCCACCCCGGCAGTACCAGTACACCCCGACCCTGGCCCCCCACCACCACCACCACCATCTCCCCCGCTTCCCTGTCTCCTACCCCCCTGGGCTCCCGCCTCCCCCTGGCCAGTTCCCGTACCCCAACCCCCCGCCATCCCCCCGTGCCCCCGAGGACTGGTACAGCTCCCTGCGCACTATGACCTCCCCCCCTGCTCCCCCACCCCCTGTCATCTCCCTCAGCCTGGACCCAGCCGCCCACTGGAACTGAGACCCATGGGGCGCTGGATGCAGCATGGAACGGTCATAAAAGTGTTGAAAGGTCTCTGACTCCGTCTCCTTCATTCCAACACACGAGGATGGCTCTCCCAGCACTGAGATGCAGCCACCTCTGGGGTGGGACAGCTGGGGAACAGCCGCACATAACGCCACCCGGGGATGGTTCGCCCGACACTGAGATGCAGCCATTTCTAGAGCAGTGCAGCAGGGGAACAACCGCACATAACACCGCATGGGCATGGCTCACCTGGCGCTGAGATGCGCCACCTCCCATTATTATTATGAAATAATTCAATATGGGCAAACAGGACGTCCCAACCTGTAACGTATTTTTTTCTCTGTGCTTTGAATGGGCTTATTTCCTAATGGAAAGAAAAATTATGAGTGAAATAGACTCAGAGGAAAAAATTAGATGGTAAAATATGAATGCAAATGGGGAGTTTTCTAAGAAAAGGTTCTCAGATGATCAAAAATCACAATACCAGAAATCAAGAAAGTGGATACACTTGACTAAAAGCCCATGCTCTTTCAGTGGGGGAAATGAAGGCATTCGTTTGAAATGTAAAAAGCCACAAATAAAAAAATGGGAAAAAATACGAGATAGTAATTGATATAAATTAGTAATCAATATAAATTAGAAGTGTAGAAAACTGATAAGGGAAGCTAAAGGTAAGAGCAGACAGTGCATAGCTGACTAAGGACAATAAGGTGGAATTTTTTTAAGCTTATCAGGAACAAAATAGACCCTAGCATAGATAGAGATGGAAAAATTGTTAATAATGGTACAGAAAAGGCAGACGTATTCAGTCAACGTGTGTGTCCCATATTTGGCTAGAAGCAGGATGAGGTACTCATATCAAATGAGGGCGATGGAGCATTTTCCAGGATATTAGGCCTGGACCCCCAAAGGGACTTAGGCATTGTGATGCTGCCCTTCTAGGCCCCTTGAAAAATCGCTGCGATCCACACAGCCCGAGTTAGGGCGCCCCAGAATGTCACCCACAAGAATCCTGTCCCTCTTGTGGCTTTCAGCACCTAAGTCTGGGCTCCAAGCAGGTCCTGCTCGTCCACAAGGGGAGGCGCTGGGACCGCCCTGCCTCCGAGGGCTGGCCCGCTTCCCATGATGCTCAGCCTCCCCCTCTCCCCCGCCCTTTAAAGTCTCCCACATGCCTTGAAATGCCTTTTCCGGCTTGCCCGGCTTGGCGGGCGCATCTCACCGCTCTCCATGGCCCTGGGCAGCTCCCCAAGCGGCCCTGCCGGCTCCTGGATCAGACGGGAGGTGTCGGAGCTCCACAAAACTCAATGGTGAGAGGGACGCCCCTCTGGCTGTCAGCCCCCTGGTGAGAGCCCATATCCATCACGGGGGAGAGCCCCCATCTCCGTCTGCCGAGAAGAAGGGATTTGAACAGGGATCGCTACCGGCACCCCTAAGCACCGGGCTGCAGAATCACCGGCCCAATTAACGTTGAATGAGTTAACCCAACAGGGGAGGGACCCGCCTGAGAACGTTCCCCAGTTCAGAGATTAGGGCGCTCGGCTAAAATACCCGTGTTCAAATCCTTCCCATGTCCTGGCCGAGCACCGTAACCACTGGGCTAAAGGCAACCCTAGGATCAAGGCCGCAAGGAGCCCCCGGGCTCATCTCGTCTGTATCACGCGGGCCGGAGACCGTCCCCAACATCATTCCTAGAGCTGATCTGGTAGAGAAACAGCCCAGCTGGACTGAAAAATGGAGAATTCACCGCGCCCCTTGGGAAACCGACCCGGTGGTTCATGACTCTCATCGTAAAAAATTAACGTCTTATTCCCAGGCGGAATTTGTCCACCTTCAACTTCCAGCCATTGGATCAAGTTCGACCCTCCTCTGCTGGACGGAAGAGCCTGTTAATAAATATTTGTTCCCCAGGTCGGTACGTACAGGCTGGGATCGAGTCATCGCCCCTTTGCCGTCTCTTTGTTCGGCTAAACAGATGGAGCTGCTGGGGTCTCTCGCTCTCAGGCAGAGTCGTTAATCATCCTCGCGGCTCTTCTCTGACCCCTCCCCGATTTATCAGCATCGACATCCAGGAACAAAGGACGAGGGCCAGACTCACAGGCTGGGGGACTCTCTCCTGGGAAGCAACACCTCGGAAAAAGATTTGAGGGGCGTGGTGGAAAATCAGCGGAACGTCAGATCACAGTGGGACTGGGACCAAACGGGAGCCTAATGTGATCCCGGGATGTAGAAACAGGGGAATCTCGAGTCAGAGCAGAGAGGGGAGGGGATTTTCCCTCTGGCTTTGGGACTGGTGCAGCCGCTGCTGGGATCCTGCGTCCCGTTCTGGTACCCGCAATTCAAGAAAGATGTTGCATAGGCGCCAACTTTTCCCGACGCCATGCTCAACCCCCCAGCCCCGCCCCCATTCCAACCCCTTCCCCAAAGTCCCCACCCCAACTCCACCCCCTCCCTGCCCTTATTGGACTCCTTCCCCAAATCCCTGCCCCGGCCCTGCCTCTTCCCCCGAGAGCGCCGCGTTTCCCCTCCTCCCCGCTCCCTCGTGCTGGGAGCTAGGGGGAGAAGCTGAGCCGCAGAGCGCTCAGGGGAGGAGGCGGAGGCGAGCTGGGGCAGGGAGGGGAGCTGCCGGTGGGTGCAGAGCACCCACCAGTTTTTCCCTGTGGGTGCTCCAGCCCCGGAGCACCCCCGGAGTCGGTGACTATGGGATGTTGATCGGTCGGGGAGGGGTCAGAGAAGGGCCCTGCCTGAGAGTGAGACACCAGCAGCTTGGTCTATTTAGCTCAGGGGTGCTCAAACTGGGGGTGGGGACCCCTCAGGGGGGTGTCAGCCTCCACCCCAAACCCTGCGTTACCTCCAGCATTTATAATGGTCTTAAATATACACCTCTACCCTGATATAACATGAATTCGGATATAACGCGGTAAAGCAGCGCTCCAGGGGGGCGGGGCTGCGCACTCCGGTGGATCAAAGCAAGTTCGATATAACGCGGTTTCCCCTATAACGCGGTAAGATTTTTTGGCTCCC